GATGGTGTCGACTTCGCAAGGGTCTGCGAACTGTTCTCTCGCTTGCCAGCTTTGCTTTCCGAGCCGGTCGATTCTTAGCTGGCACTTTTCCCAGAAGTCCATTGACATGTTGCAGCTGCGACTTACATCCACTCGATTCCGTGCAGTGGGCCCAGCAAACAATGCGGCATAGCATGCGCTGCACAGGGCATCCGCATACCGGTACCTTGTTCGAGCCCTTTTTTTGCTCCCTGGGGATGCCCTCGTCGCCACGACCAGATTCGCCTCGGAATCTTGGTCAGGCCGCGCCTTTGGAGAGGTCCGGGGAGCAGCGGTGTCGGTCAACATGTGTGCTCCCATGGGAGTCGACTTCGTCATTCACCACCCACCAAGCCACCCCAACCCAACCCGAAGGCCTCAAATTGACTTCCATTTCTAGTGGGGGGGGGGTCGGGGAACATCGAGAAAACACGTATGGAACCCGTACCCCCCCCAACCCGAAATTCGGGTCTTTGGGTTGGGTTGGGGTGGTCTGGTAGGTAGTCAGCCATCGGCTCTGGCATTCCCTTGGGGCTCTTGTCCGGCGCCCAGGACGGCCAGACAAGACAGTGTCAGCGCAGACCGGGCAGGACGAGGCAAGGCCCGAAACGGCACGCGACGGCACGCCGATCCACCCTCCATGTCGGCCCAAGGTGGCCCCGAGGCCCCGACGAGAGCGTCCTCGAGGAAGCCCAAGATGGCCCCGAGGCCCCGAGAGCGCCCTCGAGGAACCCAACTGAGGTGAACGCCAAGTGGAACTCGTTGTTTTGCTAGCTTTTCGCTTCTGTGTCGCCAGAGGGCTCCTCAGTCTCCAAGAATGCGAAGAGGGAGCCACGGGGGCCCCCGAGGGGCCCACAGGTCCTTGTAGGCAACCGTGGTTGGCACCAGGATGGCCCCAAGAGGTCCGTAGAGGCCCCCGGAGGCCCCTATAATCATTTATGAGGCCCCAAAGAGGCCCCCAAGAGGTCCCCAAGAGGAACCGCTCTGAATCACTTCTGCACACGAGAGAGCCACAGAGTCCCCCAAGAGGAAGCGCTCTGAATCGCCTCTTCCCAGAGGGCTGGTGGAATGGAAGCTGCCATTGGGGTATCGAGGTCTTTTGTGACCACCCAGTCGGCGGAAAGAAGCTGACCCTGCGCATTGGGAAGGCCTGGGCGGGAGGGGTGGGCATGTGAGGTGTGGCGCCGGCTCGCCTGGCCTGTCTCACATCCTCCCCTGTCCCTCCCTTCTGCTTTTCTCGCCCACCTCTCCTCCCCACCACTCTCCGCCCTTCTTCTTCTTTGATATTGTGATCTTGTGATTTTGTTCCTCTTCTCTGTCAGCTGTTGCATCATGTATCTAGCGGGTCTGAGAGTGCCACTTGTGTTGAGGACGGCGCACTGCCATTCCCACTGTTCGACGACGGCGCCGGCTCGCCTTCTTGCTCGGCAGCCGCAGCATCGAGGCGAAGGCGACGGAGCGCAGACAATCGCCCGCGTCCCGAGGAACAAGTGCGGCCACGGAAGTGGCCTCGGCGGGGCATGCCCTGGACTCGGCCTCACCTGCCCGCGGACAGCCGTGCAGGGCCAGGAGGCGCTAGAACATCTCCCCCGTCATACCTCACTCGGCTCCTCCTCGCCCCCCCTTCCAATTGCAGAGTATAGTTCGATCCGGTCAGTCCGATGCGATATCGTCCCTGCCCAGGCATGTCAGATTCGATGTTAGCGCCTTGGCGATCCAGTGCGGCCCGATGCTTGCATGGCGTTTGTGCGCATCCTGTCGCAGCCGATCCGACTCGATCCCGGCCCCGTGCCGATGCAGCCTGATACGCCGCACATTCCGATCCGATCTGGTTTCCCGATTCGATGTTGGCTGATTGCTGCTGATCCCACCGCGACGGAGCACATCCCGACGGGGCCGAGACGAGGATGAATCTCATAGCCAAGCAATAGTACACACGTCCGAGCTCCTCCTCCTCCTCCTCCTCCTCCTCCTCCTCCTCCTCCCCCTCCTCCTCCTCCTCCTCCTCCTCCTCCTCTTCCTCCTCCTCCTCCTCCTCCTCCTCCTCCTCCTCTCCTCCTCCTCCTCCTCCTCCTCCTCCTCCTCCTCCTCCTCCTCCCCAAAGCGTTCTGGAACGATCTCATAGCGTTCCAGGACGCTCTGAGAAGGCCGCGGCCCCCGAGACATCCTCCAGAGCCGCGGAATCTCGGATATTGTCGATTTATCCTCACCCTGCTGTGTGTCCTCGTCCTGGCTCCGTCTGCACCTCTGACTTTCGACGGCGACAGAGCGCGCGAGGCAACGCGGGTGGTGCGAGATACGGGCTTCGGTGCTGGTCGTCTACCGCGTGGAGGGCGAGAAGTGCTTAGGCGCCCCGCGCCATGGTTGACGGGATGGGGCCGCGGTGGGGAGACGTGCGGGAGGCGGTTGGCTGATCCTCTTTGCTTCTCCTCTGCCTGGAGCCTCCTCCTCGCCCCCCCTATTCGGCCTCCTGCTCGTCCCTCTTGCGCATCCCTGGGAGGAGGAGGAGGAGGAGGAGGAGGAGGAGGAGGAGGAGGAGGAGGAGGAGGAGGAGGAGGAGGAGGAGGAGGAGGAGGAGGAGGAGGAGGAGGGGAGGAGGAGGAGGAGGAGGAGGAGGAGGAGGAGGAGGACGAGGAGGAGGAGGAAAAAGGAGGAGTTTTTTTTCACCAGCGCTGCACTGCCCACAATCAAGCGAGCAAAAAGTTGAATGGCTCCACCTGTACGTGGTCCAATTTGGGATGCTTACCCTTCAGAAGCTTATTCCAAGCTGAAGCGGCAAAATTGGAAATCGCTTTCTTACGTCTGAAATCAGCATCTGTAAGGCAATCTTTGGCAAGATTGCGGAACTGGCCTCCTGTTGTATATGCCTTGCATCTGGAGCAGGCGTATAGCAACGTACCGTCGGTGCAGGAGAAGACCTTAAGCGAGTGCTTACGCTGCCCAATCGCGAGGGCAACAGCGGGCAGCTCACCAGAACAGTTCTCGATCGGAGGCTTCTGCTCACAACGCCGGCTCTTCAAACAGCGCTGGCATCTCCAAAACGAGCGGCACCACAGCCACTCGTGACAAATACCAGTCGAATTCGACGCCTTGGGGCGAGGAGGATGAGGAGTCCGAGGAACGCCATCGAGATCAAGTCTCGGCCAGAGAGGCATCAGTCGGGCGGCCAAGGCACAGACCTTGCGGGCAACCGCGACTTTATCGTCGATCACCTGCAACTCGTTAGGTGAAGCCCTGGGATGGCTCCAAGCACCTTTCTTGGCCGCCTTGTCTGCCTGATCATTGCCCTGCTTATAGAAAAGCCCGTCGGCTGAAAGCGAGCCATCGTCCACAACATGAGCCTTTACTTTGTGGACTTGTGAGTACATACTATTCGACATGTTTAAAAGGGCTCCCGCGTAGAGCTTCTTATAAGAGACCTGCACGGGAGCAGGGGAGTTAAACGCGAGGACCACATTGGCACAATCGGAGTAACCCGTCGAGGGCCCACAAAGAAGCTCATTGGTGGCCCCTAAACCGCAGAACTCACCAGCCTGGGAGGTTTGGGGGAGAAAACTGGGAACGGGACCCGAAAGAGTGCACAAAAGCTGCCGTTGATCGTCGTAGACCGCTGCCCCCCAGCCGGCCCTAGACATCTCCTTGATGGGGCTCTTGAGACCTGACCCGTCGAAGAAGATGTGCCCTTGGATGTTCGCAGAAGTGTTGTCTGGGTCGTCTACCCACTGCACCGACATACCGCCTCCAGCCACTGGCCCTGGTACAGACTCGCCAGGATGCTGAAAGATGCCCTTGGTGAACAGATTCCAATCTGGGCTGTCGGGAGTGATGGCACCAGCGCGGGCGATCAACTCATCGTCCACTACATCTAGCCGCTGTTCACTAACAGCCGGACACTTCCACAGACGGTGATGCATAGTATCTTCCGCAGCACCGCACATGGGACAGAGATTGTCATCAAGCAAGTAACCCGCATCTGTGGCCCTGGTCTTAGTCCAGCAAGCTCCACATACTAGACTGCGAATACAACCCTTTTCAAAATTGGACCACTTCTTCTTCTGAAGTTCCTGGAGGACAATGTCGTAACATGCCCTGTCTGCGCCCATCCCAAGAGCAGCTCCCGACAGCTTCTGAAGGTGACGAATGACTCCTTCCCTCAAAAACCTTTTGAGCATCCTGGGGGAGGTGTTGGTCAGACCTAAGGACACCTGCTGGTCCGTGACAATGGTGGTGAAATCGATCATGTTCCACCCGATCCTTGACAGGGAAGCCCTAACCGCCGAAAGAGGTCCAGACACTTTCTTCCAAGAAATCGGAGGACCTCCAAAAGCCGAGTCCCAGGACGCCCTCAGAACCGGGAAGGGGACCGAAAACGCGTACTGCCTAGTACTGGTGAGCCAGACCTCTTTCGCATATCTCAAAATCGGCGCCGTCGCCGCGTAGTAGCACGGGTCGTGCTCTAAGATGGTGAGCGACGTGAGGCTGCGCGAGCCTGCGGAGGGCTTGACACACTTGCCGAAAGAGCGGCGGAGCAGCTTGAGCTCGTGGTCGGAGGTGCCGTGGACCTCCGCTCCGAAAGTGGCTCCTGCTAAAGGTCCGGCAATGAAGACCTTCCGCGACCACTTCCCGAGAGCCTTCCTGGATTTCCTGAATCTCTTAACCCTGGCTTTTAAGGTTCTGGCCCTGGATGTCCACTTCTTGCCCTTCTTACCGGAGCGTCTAGCCTTCCCTGCAGTGTCGTCGATCCCCAAATTCACCGCCGACTCCTTGGCAGGACCTCCTGCGAATCGGCCCAAAAACTGAACGAGCTTGTGGCCTAGCGAAGGAGTGGACGCGATGACAGAAGCCTTGTCTTCAGCAACGCTGCAATGCATATCAGTATGAATTGCGGTCATGAGCATAGTGGTGGTTTCTTTAAGGCCTATGCTGACAGACGACTCCGTTCCGACCGAACTAACTCCATAGTCGTCTATGTAAATGTCCAAGAACACATCCCGAGGAATGGGGAGCGGGTCGATAACGGGTATAAGGTAAATCCGCACGAAGGTGGTGGCCATCGAACAGCCCGCAACGACTCCATTTATCGAATAATAGGGCCCCACAGACAGAGTAGAGAGCGTTAAGAACCTAGCTCCACGATAGGCCGTCATACAAACTCGCGTAATCTGTGATGGAAAACCTAGCTGCTTGGCCCGGGCCTCGACCAGCGGCAAATGCATGCCCTCGTAGAACTTGAACAAATCCCAGAGCACGGAAGCTGCCGCTTTGCCTTCACGAACTCCTAGCTCGCTGCGAAGCGCCTGCCTCCATACCACATCTGAGGCCCCATTAGAGGCCGCGGCCGCCAGATAATTCCGAGAATTCGCGAGCTCCCACGAGGAAGCTAACTTACGACGGGCCCTTCCCCAGAGCCGGTACCCCGAACTGAAAAGGCCGATAGGCCTAAAGCCCCCCTGGGGCTTGGCTAAAAGCGCCATCTGCAACACCTGCAAGTGGTATGGAAGAAGGCCCGTGGCTTCAATCAGCTGGAGCAGAATACTGAAAGCCTCCAGGCAGCCGTCCGACATGCTAGCATAATGGCGCATGTGGAACCCGTCAACCGAGATGGCCGTGGCAGTGGAATAGGAGCGACTAATCATACGAATGTCATCGGCCGTAAGGATCTCAAGGGGCTCAAGAATCTCCAGCGGCTTGTCGATGACGTCTGGCTCCTTGTCTGCTTGCCAAAGACCTGCAAAACGGGCCGCCTCTGTCTCCAACAGGGCGAGAGGGTCGGACACAAGGTGGCCGTGCTTCGACAGGGTCGTGGTCGGCGTCCAAGGCTTGCACTCCTTAGTCCACCCGTGGGCCCTCCTTCCTCCTTTAGTGATGCCGTCAAGGAGCCAAGCCTGCCAGTCTTTAAAACTGCGGTCTCGGGCCGCCGCCGAAAACTTACCGAGGGAAGTTTCGAGCTCGGAAAGCAGCTCCCAACCGACGTCGACGTCCCAGGAAACCTCAATCTCGCCTTCAATGAGAAAGGCGCCCACCCGGAGGAAATCGTCCTGGCAAGCGTTGAGGTGCTCGGCAACCGTGGCCGGAGGCGTAAGGAGTGCTTGCCCGTGAACCCCAAGAGCCCTCGAGTGCTGCAGCTCCCCCAAGAACGCTCGGAACTCCCTCACAAGCCAGCGGAAGGCGTAAAGGTCGGGATCCTTGATGTTGCTACGCGCGGAGTCCAAGTCCGCCACGGAGACCCAGATCAGCTTCGGAACCTTACCCCGGGCACCGTACCTGGGGAGGGTCACAAATCTGGACACCGCCACCTCGTGCTCGGCGAGGTCCGCCCACTCCTGGTAAAGCTTATTGAGGTGTTTCTGGACCTGCCTGCGCTTCGGGTTAACTCTGAGCGCCGCCAGACCGCCTTGAGCGAGCGCCAACACCTGATCTGCCGACCTGGTTTCAGCAGGTGGTCCAATGGGCTGCTCTATGGGGATCTTGGGGGGCTTCATGAAGCTAAGGGCCTGGAGCTCCGCGGGGCTCTCGTGAAAGGTGAGCCTGACAGGGGAGTGAGACTTCACATCCGAGTCAGTGCGCACCTCTATTTTCTGGACGCACTTGCTGAGACCAGGCGAGAGCATAAAAAAGTCAATGATGCTGCTGGCTCCTCTGCCTCCGTGAAACGTACACGATGAAGGAGAGATGATGTTAGCAGCCGTGCGCTCGAAAAAGTTGCTGGACTGGAGGGCGGAGGGCGACATGTTGAAGTCTGCACCCACAAGCCAAGAGTCCCCGAAACCGTGCGCGCAACTGCCGATGGAGGCCAAGATAGTTCGGTTCCTCTGAGACAACCCCTCGCTGTCCCCGAAGTACGCGCTAACCATCAACGTGGGAGAACCCCCAGGAACCTCCACAACACCAGCCACAGCACGTCCAGGAAAAAGCTCAGCACCAAAATCGGGGAGACGAAAACCGAGATAGTTACGGACCAGGATGGCGACCCCTCCACTAGCTCCACCCCCAGAAGCGAACTCCGCCTTCAAAAACTTGCTCTTCCAGCCTTGATGGTAGCACCACTGGGATGCCTCGTCGCAGTCGGGACCTGAAAGAAGACGATGTTCCTGAACCAGAAGGACCTGCGCCGAGGATCTCTGGACCCAGGACTTAATCGAGGTCCAGGCCGTGCAGTTGACTGTCTCGACCATCAGCTGGTGATGTGCTGCTGGGCCGGCTGGGGGGCCTGTATAGTTGGCGGGATCTGCGCCCTCTGGAAACTTACATGGGTGCCGCCCGGCCCCTCGAAGCACGTGCTTGGGAACCTGGGATCCCACTTTAACGTCAGTTCTCGAGGCGCTGACAGCAGAAAAACCGGCAGAGG